TTCACAAAATTCACTGACCGCTTACAGCCTGAAAAAGAGCAGTTTTAACAATTTACAAATTAATTTTTACATTTTTTGTTAAAAAATGTAAAAAAATATCGAGAAATATTCAAATCTCCCTGAGAGCTGATCGGGGGAGGGGGTGATTATCAAAGAAGAAAGATCTTAAGAAAAAGTAGAAGTAGATGGAAACTCTGAGAGGGAGCAAATGAAGGGATAAATCTTAAACTCAGTTTGTTTGCAAAAAAGCCAGGAATGAGCAACGAAAAGTAATATACAGAAATATCATACTATGCTGTTTTGTCAGCAATGGGAGAAGCTGAAAATCCTATCCGTCGATATAAAATTGAAGTTAAAAAATAAAAATTCTTAAAATTAAAAAAAGAACCTGGTTCATTTCGAACCCAGGTTCTATCTTGAGAGCTTGACAGGAAACTCTGTTCTTGAATACATAGGTTCTCAAGAACCTGGAGATCGTCTGCTGCGCTAGAACCCTGCGTTAACAATAATATAAAAACATATACAAATATTTACCTCCAGTAGTATAATAACGGTGTGATGCACCCCTGTAAACAAATATGTAAATGAATATTAACAGAGAAATAAGATTTACTTTATCAAACTGTTTTAAACAACAAAATTAAGTCAAAAATAAATATAATTTCTTATGGCTATGCTCAAGTGAGTTCCCAAAGGAATTGGTTTTAATTTTGATTGATTGGTTTTAATGTTGATTGAATTCAAATCCTCAAGATGAAAATGTAAATGTATAAGAAATATATTCAATAACCTCAAAATCGGGTTCGTAAATTGGGACCAAAGTTTTGTTGAACCATATTATGATCCGACCCCAGGGAATAACAAATATTGGCATTTGAATTTAGAGAAAATAACTGAGTTTGTGCCACAAACTCAGATTTTCTAACCCCTATTTCTTTAGAACCAGGTGTCGTAGATCTTTGATATTTTAAACTATGAATTCTGTTAGATAAAATAGTCTAAGTTTGAAATATCAAAGGTTTAAGTCATCAGCTTACAAAGATATAAGGATTCGTACATTTGAGTTTGTGGAAAAACTCTTTTCCTTTAAACCCTTCACTGAGAATAGAAAACTCTACGAAACAATTTTTAAAAGCTAGATTATGAATTGAAATATTTACCTTAATAAACGTATAGAATATTCTGCTTCTAAAATTTAAAGAGTTTACAATAGCAACAAGGCCTGCCACTAAAGTTACGATCCAAATAGCAAAGTTGTATCCTGAAATATAGAAATAGCAAAGTTGTATCCTGAAATATAGAAATAGCAAAGTTGTATCCTGAAATATAGAAATAGCAAAGTTGTATGCTGAAATATAGAAATAGCAAAGTTGTATTCTAAAATATAGAAATAGCAAAGTTGTATCTTGAAATATAGAAATAGCAAAGTTGTATCCTGAAATATAGAAATAGCAAAGTTGTATTCTAAAATATAGAAATAGCAAAGTTTTATCCTAAAATATAGAAATAGTAAAAGTATATCCTGAAATATACAAGTAACAAAGTTGTATCCTGAAATATAGAAATAGCAAAGTTGTATCCTGAAATATAGAAATAGCAAAATTGTATCCTGAAAAATACAAATAGCAAAGTTGTATCCTAAAATATAGAAATAGCAAAGTTGTATCCTGAAATATAGAAAAGCAAAGTTGTATCCTGAAATATAGAAATAGCAAAGTTGTATCCTGAAATAAAGAAATAGCAAAGTTATATCCTGAATATAGAAATAGCAAAGTTTATCCTGAAATATAGAAAAAGCAAAGTTGTATCCTGAAATGTAGAAATAGCAAATTTGTTTCCTGAAATAAAGAAATAGCAAAGTTGTATCCTGAAATATAGAAATAGTAAAGGTATATCCTGAAATATACAAGTAACAAAGTTGTGTCCTGAAATAAAGAAATAGCAAAGTTGTATCCTGATATATAGAAATAGCAAAGTTTTATCCTGAAATATACAAATAGTGAAGTGTATTCTGAAATATAGAAATAGCAAAATTGTATCCTGAAATAAAGAAATAGCAAAGTTGTATCCTGAAATATAGAAATAGTAAAGGTATATCCTGAAATATACATGTAACAAAGTTGTATCCTGAAATATAGAAATAGTAAAGGTATATCCTAAAATATACAAGTAACAAAGTTGTATCCTGAAATAAAGAAATAGCAAAGTTGTATCCTGAAATATAGAAATAGTAAAGGTAATATCCTGAAATATACAAGAAACGAAGTTGTATCCTGAAATATAGAAATAGCAAAGTGTATTCTTAATATGTAAATAGCACAATTGTATCCTGAAATATACATGTAACAAAGTTGTATCCTGAAATATACAAGAAGCAAAGTTGTATCCTGAAATATACAAGTAACAAAGTTGTATCCTGAAACATACAAGTATCGAAGTTGTATCCTGAAATATACAAGTAGCAAAGTTGTATTCTGAAATATCCAAATATCAAAGTTGTATTCTGAAATATCCAAAGATCAAAGTTGTATTCTGAAATATCCAAATATCAAAGTTGTATTCTGAAATATCCAAAGATCAAAGTTGTATTCTGAAATATCCAAGTAGCAAAGTTGTATTCTGAAATTTTCAAATAGCAAAGTTGTATTCTGAAATATCAAAATAGCAAAATCCAAATTTCTGGATATAGATTTTATAAAAAGATTTTAATTTGTGTACGTTATGTGTTGAAACATAATTCTGCTCTTTATTGGGTGAATACTACAAATCCAATTCAAACCCTATTCCTTCCGAGATCAACTTACATCTTTTTACTAAAACTAGACTGGCGGGGGGGGTCAAAGTGAGGGGCATGAATTAGTCATAAAAGTAAAAAAATTTGATTCGCTCTCAGTCAGAATAGGGTTTAAAAAAAAGGAAAATTATGCCTTCTCGGGAATTGACTGCGATACTTTTGGAAAGAATTTCTTTCTGAACTTGGTTCTTACTTTCTTTACATCTTCAGCCCTCAATTTTTCAAAATCAGAATTTTTTTTAACAGGGAAGATTATATTTTTTTCAGGGGTTTGATCAGACCCTTCTCTAGGTTTCATCCCAAACAAATTGTCAAATTCAGATGTTAAATCCAACTGATCCTATTCTCGCTGATTTATTATTTTCATATCTTCACTTTGTTACACTTGATAAAGATCTTACTGAAAAGTACAGTACAGTACCTGCAGAGAGAAGATTTTGTTTTCTGCGTTTACGGAGTTCGTTTTGTGAGATACAAAGCATTATTTTCCTAAATTAAAAAAATTAAGTTTCAATAATTTTTGAAAATTTATCGCTACCCTTCTTAAAGGAACGCTGTCCTGTGTACACATAATTCCAAATGAAAATCTATTTGCAGTAGTTTTTACGATCAATAAGATTAATGCTTTGTAATCAAAAATTCTTTATATTTTCTGAAGAAAAATTTATAAAATTAAGTAATTGAGTTTATGCCACAAACTCTAATTTTCTAATCTTTAAATCTTTTCAACTCAATTTCGTAGACCGGATATTTCAAACTTTAACTGATTTTAAATCTAGTAATTTAAGTTTGAAATTCCTAAGATTTCCATTCTCAGCTCAGGTTGCAAAGATATAGGAATTAGACGAACTGAGTTTGTGGGAAAGACTCAATTCCTCAATATTGATTTCAGGTTTTCTTGTTACTGTCCAGATTTGATATTTGGACTCCTAAAACTGCGCAAAAGATTTTTAATAATATTTGTCAAGAGAAAAAAATGAATACTGTAAAATCTTGAAGGACTTCTGACTATTGTTGTTTGTTTGCTCGAAATATGATTAATCTCTAACTAAAGAAAATATTTAAAATTTTCCAGATACTGCTGGTTCAAATACTAACTGCGTAAAAAAAATAAAATAAAACTGTTGCTGTTATATAAAAATACAATCAGTTCTACAGGTGGTTCTCCAGACACAATTACTTTGGTTTCAAAATCAACCAAACGAAAAAGTTAAATCTCGCATCGTAGGTTTTGAAAAAAAAAACGGTCCTTTCCCCCTGTGTGGTGAAGGAATTTTACAAAGCCACGCACCTCTGACCCTTTAGTAAAAGTAAATTCAACCTAAAGTCTGACCGCGTCAACCTTGTTGCACCGGCTAGTCCTTTAAGTGTCTGCTTTATTTACCCAATGTCCGGGCGACACAGTACAAACTGGGACCGGAAAGGTTGACCCGGCTCGGAAATTCAAATGTACTAGGGCTGCCCGTGAAGCCCTACTACCATCGACATAGTGAAATACTGTAGTTTGCCAGAACCCACATAATATCCTCAATTATTTGTTCAGAGCTGAGGCCAAAATTAAAGAATTTAAACTGCGTCGCTGAATCGCCAAAAACCGGTTCCAATCGAGCGCCGACTCAAATCTCGAAACACTATATACACATTCTCATGTGGAACCAACTGCATGTTTGAGCCTCGTCTCAAATTTGAGACGCATATCAAATTATTTAAATTCGGCCTTAGGATTAAAAAAAATATTCTCAAAATTGGCAAATTTAATATAAAATCAACATTATAGAGGAGCTACGATATTTTCTATTCAAATCAGAAATTTCTGTGTTAGGTACTTTCCCAATGACCTTTTCCCAATGGCAACTTTCCAAGTGACAATTTTCAAAGATGGTAACTTTTAAAATGTACAATTTCCCAAGCCGAACCCTCCAACTGTACATTCAAAGTTAGGTTAGTCCTTTTGAGGCGCCCCATGCTGAGCGCTGCGGCTAGAACAGACTTGGGAAGTTGCGGCTTGGAAAATGGCACATTTGGGAAGTTGCCACTTGAAAATTCTACATTTAGAACGTTGCCAATTGAGAAAATACCTTTGTCCAGTAAGTAGCAGTAAGGGAATTGATTCTTTGGCACAAAATTAAATGTTCTAATGCCTATATCTTTTCAACCTGACGGTGTAAACCTTGGCTATTTCAATGGTTGAAATTAGTAATAAAAGTCAATAATTGTACCAGGTGCACCAGGTGTACCTTGTGCACCAGGTGCACCAGGTGTACCCGGTGTACCTGTCTTTCCTGAACCTGATGACCATGATGACAATGTAGAAGAGTGGGACACTAATGAAGGTGAGGACGACAAGGAGAGTGTTGGTGATGAGGGCGGGGCTGGTGAGGGGAATGTTGTACAGAATTACGTTTAAATCTGCGCCTAGATTCTCTTCCTAAACAAAAAACTATTTTCAGGAAGAAACTTTTGAAAGACTTTTCATTTAAAGAAGAACATGCCTAATGCACAAGGATACCTTTATATCCTTTGATGAAAATATCCTCTCAAACAGGAAAATTCATAAACGCCGATATCTTTCCCTCAGTTACTCAATAAAAGAATCAAAGAGTGCCGTCCGAAATCAGACATGCCATATTTTTTTTAATTGGAAAATCCCTTGAATTTACGTTTGTAGTCACTTCCACTCAAATAGTTTCTATCTATTCTAATAATTTGCAAAATTAAAAGGAATTTCCAAAAAACTTGTTACTTGGCAAAATTTGTATTGATAAGCTTGGCAAAATATAGGATATGTTAAATCCATTTGGCCAGGCAACTTTAATCAAATATTTTTAAAATTTTGTTGAAAACTGAAGAAAAACAATACGTAACCAAATTAATTTAAACAAAGATATTTTGTACATAATCCGTAATCAGAAAAAAACCCAGTTTGTCTTACTTATAAAAATCACCTTATTTTGAAGGTAGAATCTGTCCTCCTTCCCAATACATTCAAAATACAGCACATTGTGTTGAACTAACACAAATCCTAATAAAAAACATTTCAATTTTAATGGAATATTATTACTGTTCTACTGTGCACCAGTCTGATGTACGCATTCTCGTCAGTGCTTTCTATGAAGAATAACGCCTGGGGTTGTAGTAAATGCCCTACCCAAGAAATACTTTTAGATCAGTACCAATCCAATAATACCTTGGTCAGTATCAATCCGGATACGACTCTATCTGTATTCTCAGGTATCTGTCTTATAAGATGCAACTCAATCTAGAACTCAAGGTTCATCACTAATACCATAGTCAATATCAATCAGGATACGACTCAGTCTGTATTACAAGGTATATGTCCTACAAGATACAACTCAATCCCTCTCATTAATACACGAGGAATAAGAACTATTCCAATCAATACTCAATCTCTCCTTAATTCCCAAGGCATAAGAAATATTCCGTCCAATACTAATTCCTCTCATTAATCCACAAGGCATAAGAACTATTCCGTTCAATACTCAATCCATCTCATTAATCCATGAGGCATAAGAACTATTCTGTTCAATACTTAATCCCTCTCATTAATCCACAAGGCATAAGAACTATTCCGTTCAATACTCAATCCCTCTTGCTAATCCACAAGGCATAAGAACTATTCCGTTCAATACTCAATTCCTCTCATTAATCCACAAGACATAAGAACTATTCCGTCCAATACTAATTCCTCTCCTTAATCCATGAGGCATAAGAACTATTCTGTTCAATACTCAATCCCTCTCATTAATCCACGAGGCATAAGAACTATTCCGTTCAATACTCAATCACTCTCTTTAATCCACAAGGCATAAGAACTATTCCGTCCAATACTAATTCCTCTCATTAATCCACAAGGCATAAGAACTATTCCGCTCAATACTCAATCCCTCTCATTAATCCACAAGGCATAAGAACTATTCCGTTCACTACTCAATCCCTCTCATTAATCCACGAGGCATAAGAACTATTCCGTTCAATACTCAATCACTCTCATTAATCCACAAGGCATAAGAACTATTCCGTTCAATACTCAACCCCTCTCATTAATCCACAAGGCATAAGAACTATTCCGTTTAATACTTAATCCCTCTCGTAAATCCACAAGGCATAAGAATTATTCTGTTCAATAATACTTTAGTCAATATCAAACAGGATACAACTATATCAGTATTCTTTGGTATCTGTTTCACAAGATACACTCAAACCCCCTCTTTGATAAACAAGGCATCTAATTACTGTGACACAGTAATCAGAAAGATTATTATTCCAACTGACGTTTATTTTGTACATTTTAAGTTAATTTACATAATTAAGTTTTAAGTAAGTTTTGCATCGTTATATACAAGCGTAATTAGGCTAATCACAAAACAGGTTTGACGTAGTTATTTACAGACGTAGCTAGGCTACAATGAACAACGTAACATATCTAGTTGTGTTCAGGTTAACAAATATAGGGTTTTACTACATTATTTGCAACAGGGTTTCCATTGGGAATTCCGTTGTGCAGAATCGATCGCACATAACTGTTCATGAACTGCTCAGAATTGTGCAGACTTGTGTGGAATTGTGCACAATTGCTAGGAATTAAGCGGAATTACACTGAATTGCATTGAGTTTACACGGCTCGGAATTAAGCGCAACTAAAATTCGCGTGCCTTGGAAACCCTAGCAGAGCCAGACCCTCTCAGACCTGAATTGAGAAGGTCTGGTGCTATACTTTCCATACCAATGCTAAAAATTCATAATCTGACTGGTTCTACGTTGAATCAAAATTAAATATTTTGCTACACAGAAAACCAGAAAACTATGGTACAAAAAGACAACATTACAGTATATTTGATGTCGTTACAATAAAAAAAATTTAATTAGTAATTTATTGAATCACTTATTCAGCTTTTAGTTAAATGGGTCAGTTTGAGTCTAAAATGTCGCCTTTCTATGCCAGAGTTTTCTGTTTATAATGCTTCATATGAATATTTAAAAAAAATTCTAACACAAGCGTAAGGAAGTTGGACGAAATTGTGGACTATAGCGCGCAATTGTGCACATTTCCGTTGCGTTTACTGCACGCAATTATTACGGAATTGCGCGCAATTAAATTCACTTGCACGCAAGGGTACGCTATGTTTTAAATCTGTTTTATGAGAATAACTTAAACCTGTTTCAAATCTGTTTTATAAGAATAAATTAAACCTGTTTTAAATCTGGTTTATTAGAATAAGTTGAACCTGTTTTAAATCTGTTTTACAAGAATAAGTTAAACCTGTTTTAAATCTGTTTTACAAGAATAAGTTAAACCTGTTTTAAATCTGTTTTACAAGAATAAGATAATCTTTTTTAAATCTGGTTTATTAGAATAAGTTGAACCTGTTCCGGTGTAATAAACTACCATTCCTGTCATCATCACCCAGATACAGATTCCAAGAACTTTCACATTCTTAAATCAGAAGACACGTTTTTTTACAATTCTTAAATAACATGGACAAAACATTTAACAAATATCAATTCTAAAAAAAATATTTGCATGCATAAAAATATCTGTTGAAAAAAATAAACTTATAATCATTGAAAATAAGCTATTTAGATTCATTTAAAAATTCACAGGTGCGTGCAAATTCTTTCAGCTAGGTGCTATTTATTTTGAACTATTGACTTTTTGAACTATTGGTCGTTTGAACTATTGCACGTGGTACCACGTGTAGTAGTTCAAACGTTCAATATTCAAACGATAATATTCTATGTACATTTGAACTATTTTTTGCTCATTTGAACACTATAAAAAACCAGTTCAATTGAAGCGAAAAAAAGTTTAAATGAGCCAATAATAGTTCAAATGAGCAAAAAAAGAAGCAAAAAAATTTTCAAATCAAGCAAAAATATTTCAAATAATAGGCCTTGTATAAAATTGATAGGAGGGAGGGGAAGAGGGTCCAAAAACAGTGTACTGAGATGGACCCAATTATAGTTCAAATGAGTCAAAAAAAATATTTCAATGAGCAAAAACATAGTTCAAATGAGTCAAAAAATTAATTCAAATCAAGAAAAAATAGTTTAAATTATCTCTAAAAAACAGCTGCTCTAAATGAAACTTGATCTTAATTGTTTTGCTAATCTGAACTATTATTTTCTCATTTAAACTATTAAATGCTTCATTCAAAATATTTTTTTGGTCGTTTTAACTATTTTTATGTCCATATGTGAAATATTTCTTGATCATGTAAACTATTTTGTGTTGATTTAATAATTTTAAATTATTTTTTTTTAATTATAATTTTTTCATGAAATATAAAAATTTTTAACAGCACATTTAATAGTTCAAATGAGTAAATAATGTGTTGTTTAAACTACAGGAAATGACGTCATCATTCTGTTCATAAACCCTGAAAAAAAGATTCTAATTTCAAGATGTTTTGGTTGGTTCGATTGTCTAGCAAATCTAAAAATTTAACTACTTTAAACATAAACTTCTTTATCTTGAAGAACTCGATAATATCTCCGTCAATTTTAAAGTTACAATAAAAATATTTCACTCCCCAGTGTCAGAGAGACTTGAATCACATGCATTTTGAGACACTATGTATTTTACCTGAACCACAGTGAACCGAAGAGCAAAGACGACCATACAGAATCGGTATATGGCCACCATTAACGGAATCACCCTGTATAGTTGATCCTTTAATTTTTTTCTTTTCACTGTTAACACTTCTTTTTTATGTAATTCATTATAAACCAATTAAATAAAAGGTTGCCCTACCCAGCCAGCCTTTCAAAAGAATTTACAAAAAATGAATAGGATGACAAATAATCAAAGAATGAAGGAAGAGGAAGGATGAATAAAAGGATGAATGAAAAGGATGATTGAACGAATACATAAGTTAATTCATTAGGATGAATAAATGAAAGGATGAATGAAATGAATAACATCATAAATGAAATAATAAAGAAATGAAGATATGAAGAAATGAAGAAATAAAACAATAAAAAATAAAAGAAATGAAGGAATAAAGAGATGAAGAAATGAAGAAATGAAGAAATGAAGAAATGAAGAAATGAAAAAATGAAGAAATGAAGAAATGAAGAAATAAAAAAAATGAAAAAATAAAAGAAATGAAGGAATGAAGAAATGAAGAAATAAAAAAATTAAGAAATGAAGAAATAAAAATAGAAGAAATGAAGAAATGAAGAAATATGAAATAAATGAATGAAGAAATAAAGAAATGAATGAATGAAGATATGAAGAAATGAAGAAATGAAGAAATGAAAGGATGAAATAAATGAATGCATTTTTTTAAACCGGTAATATTGTGAATGGCTTGAAATAAATGAATAAATGAATTATTGAAGAAATTAAGAAATGAAAGGATGAAGAAAGGAAAAAAAGAATGAATGATCGAGGCATGATTAACCCACCTATCCATGTTCCCAACAATTTCTACGAGGATAACTTGAGCATAGCAGAACACAGGCTCGGAGACAATATGCTTGATGTTTGTCAGGATAATATAGCAGTGGGATACACTACAATACAATATGATACAGTGGGATACACTACAATACAATAGGATACAGTGGGATACACTACAATAATATATGATACAGTGGGATACACTACAATACAATATGATACAGTAGGATACACTTGAATCATATATGATACAGTGGGATACACTAGAATACAATATGATATAGTGGGATATACTACAATACAATAGGATACAGTGGGATACACTACAATAATATATGATACAGTGGGATACACTACAATACAATATGATAGAGTAGGATACACTACAATAATATATGATACAGTGGGATACACTAGAATACAATATGATATAGTGGGATACACTACAATATAATATGTTACAGAGGGATACACTACAATACAATAGGATACAGTGGGATACACTACAATAATATATGATACAGTGGGATACACTACAATACAATATGATAGAGTAAGATACACTAAAATAATATATGATACAGTGGGATACACTAGAATACAATATGATATAGTGGGATACACTACAATATAATATGATACAGTGGGATACACAACAATACAATAGGATACTGTGGGATACACTACAATACAATATTATACAGTGGGATACACTAGAATACAATAGGATACAGTGGGATACACTACAATACAGTAGGTGAATTAGAATACACAAGAATACGGTAAGATAAACTAGAATACATGACGTGCAGTAGAATACAGTAGGATACAGTAGGATACAGTAGAATACAGTGGTAAACAATAAAATAGAGAAAGATACAGTAGGATAAAGAATTGAGAAAATTTGTAGTTACTATCAAATTTTGATTTTAATTGAAAAAGATTAGAAATTCACAAATTTCGCTTTATGTCCTATAAGTCACAAAAAGCTTCCTTCCCACTTCTTCAGAAATTGGCCTAGTTGTGCCTCTGATTCTCCCCTTTGTAAAGTACTAATGAACATTCACTTTAAAACATGATGTTTCCTATTTACTTGTTGAAGCATTCTAGAATGAGAAGACTATCTAGGATTGTTTTCCTGTTCCTCCAGGTAGAAACTATCATAGGTAGGTTGGTTGTCAGTATCAAGAATATCACGAGCACTGCAGCTCCAATATCCTCGGAGCTCAAGTCAAATGTCTTCCTTAAAAAAAGATCTTGAGTATTTTTTTAGTTACAGATACTGATTAACTCTTCAAACCGTACCCGCACTGCCCAAAAGTTTAGGGCTGGAAAACATCTCGGTAACGAACGGCAAAACCGTTAATTAAGAAATCGGTAACGGTTAGTAAAGAAAATAACGATCTATTTTTAACTAATTTGGAATTCTTTATTATCATATTTTTTACAAATTACAATTTTTAAGCAACTAATAATTGATACATGTCTATAATGCAGATAATCATTTTTCACTGTTTTCACCTTTTTCACTTTTATTTAACTGTGTTGAATTATATNGCTTTTTACACAGGCAATACACAATTTTGAATGCGATAAAATAGTGTTATTTTAGAAATAGAAAGTTAAAAAACAAAAAAAATTTAAAAATAATGACATTTACAATTAACGATTGGATACTACAGTTTAATTTTAAATTCGAAATTTATTTTGATTCACAACATGCTGAAAAAAATATCAATTAGTGTCTATAGAAAGGGACCGTCCCTTTGCGCTCGAATTCTGAACGAAAAATCGACTTTTTCTCCGGCCACAGTTGTCTTTGAAAAGTAAGACTATTACTAATCAACAGCGAATAGGCTGTTTAGTTTACCCTGAAATTACCCAAATAAGTGAACGGTCCCTTTAAAAGTTCTTGTAAAACCGAAACTTTCAGTGCATGGTCCAATGGGACATCAAAATATTTCATTTGTTTCTTAACTAACATTTTACTAATATCAGAAAGATTTACAGAACATAAATTTTCCATGAGGGCTCCAGTTCCTGAGTAAGTCAGGTAAAAGACCGGATTGATGTACAATGTACTGCCAGGATGCTTCATGACTCTGTTTAATGGTTCAGCCTCTATTTGATTATTACCCTCTTGTTGATGTTTGGTCTAACTAAGCATTCCAGCATTTCAGGATTCAGCATTCTCAGCGTATATGGTTGAATAACAAGGAAACCTCGGGAAAAAGGTCTTATACAGACCATGGTCTAGGATGAACTCGAAAATAATGATTTATAAAAAAGAACGAACATATATGTTTCATAAGAAAAGTTTTTTTTGATATTTCTCTACATGTTTTAATGTTTTTGAATGTTGTCTTCAAATTTGTTGAGCTTATGCGTGAAATAATCGTTAACGACGGGCAAAATTTACGATTTCTGAAATTATTGCCATAAAACAATTGAGATTTTTAACGAATGGAAACATTGAGAAAGCGCTGAAAACACCGTTAACAAATTGAACGTTCAGTTCTAATAAGAACGAGCGGCTACGAGAAAATTTGGTTTTTAATTTTAATTAACCATTAATGAACGATTTTAAAAAAGTGTAAACGTGCAAAGCCCTAACCGAAGGACTAAAAAGTCATGCATTTCTATCTTAGACTGTTGTTGAAACAAAGACTGCCGCGTCATTGAACCAAATATTATCTAAATGTGCAACGCAATTCATTTCCCAGTATTGAGATTTTAAGATATAATTTAGTATTTAATTTCAGGAAATTATAAATCATTGTTTAAAGTTTCTAAGATTTTCTTGATAACATGATTTAACTCTTCACCACCTACTCACCAATTGCCATAATCTTATTGAAATATATTCATTTATTTTAAAGATTTCGGGAAAACATTGTAAATATGCAGTAAATTTACATATATTTATTGTACTTCAAAAATCAAAATTTATACTGGCAAAAATTAAATGATTGAAGTTGATGTAAATTCCGAAAAATAAAAATAAAAACATATTTGTGAACTTATATCTAAACAGGATACTGGTTGGTTGGTATTAGTTTTTACAATTAATAAAAATTTGTGAAAACATGATAGAAAAAAAAATATTTGATTTTGAGGCTGAAATGTGAAAATACGTACAGAACAATAATATTAACTGTGTCCAGTGTCCAGTCATCTCCAAGATACAATGTTCTGTTCGTGCTCATCTTTAGATACTTCTAAAAATAAATCTGTAACTAGATATTTCTAGAATATACTTTATCTTTATATTTCTAGAATATAAATGTGCATCTAGATATTTCTAGAATATATCTGTATTTAGATATTTCTAGAATATATTGTATTTAGATATTTCTAGAATATACTGTAACTAGATATTTCTAGAATATACTTTATCTTTAGATATTTCTAAAATATAAATGTGTATCTAGATATTTCTAGAATATATATCTGTATCTAAATGTTTCTAGAATATACTTTATCTTTAGATATTTCTAAAATATAAATGTGTATCTAGATATTTCTAGAATATATATCTGTATCTAAATGTTTCTAGAATATACTATATCTTTAGATATTTCTAAAATATAAATGTGTATCTAGATATTTCTAGAATATATATCTGTATCTAGATATTTCTAGAATATACTTTATCTTTAGATATATCTAGAATATGAATGTGTGTCTAGATATTTCTAGAATTTATATCTGTATCTAAATGTTTCTAGAATATACTGTATCTTGATATTTCTAGAATAAACTGTATCTAGATATTTTTGGAATATACTGTATCTAGATATTTCTAGAACATATATCTGTATCTAGATATTTCTACAATATACTGTATCTAGATATTTCTAGAATAAACTGTATCTTTATATTTCTATATGCTGGATATTTCTAGAAATTATATCTGTATATGCATATTTATAGAAATTTTATCTAGATATTTGATATCAATTGACTTAAACTGTATCTAAACCGCGATCACGCAGATTTAGAATTTTAATCTTGCACATTTTCAAAATTTTATTAATTTGACCTGACTTATACTAGCAGAGATACACTTTATTACATTTTCTTTAAAAACGCATCCGCACTCAGAAGTATTAAAGAGAAGAATTTCAAATGACCCTTCATGCAAAGATGGCTACCCTTGATCTGATTAATCCTCATCTATGCATGGAAGGTAACTTGAAATGTATTCATGGAGGGTAACTTGAAATGTATTCATGGAGGATAACTTGAAATGTATTCATGGAGGGTAACTTGAAATGCATTCATGGAGGGTAACTTGAAATTAGACGTATAGTCCTTTAACTATACGTGATGTCGGAGAATGTGTTTAAAATGAAAACGTATAAAGTGGAACTAGTTTAAAGATAAAGCTGATGGAAAAATGAATGTTAAGAAAACAATCGAGGAACATCTAAAGATAGATTGTAACATAAGAAACTATTATGTAAACAGAAAATATAAATAAAACTAAGAATATCTGTAAATATCAACACCAATGGATGGTGAAGTTAAATGTGGATTCTCTGCAAAAATTCAGGATGGATGCTTCTCTAAGATGAATGAATGCTGTTTGATGAATGATGAATATATGGCTTTGCATAATGAATGAATTTAGAATGATGAATGATTACTGAATGGTAAATGAATGAAAAATGATGAAGAATGATGAATGAATGATGAATGAGGATAAGTGAATGATGAATGAGGATAAGTAAATGATGAATGAGGATAAGTGAAAGATGAATGAAAGATGAATGAATGATGAATTTTTACTGTATGATGAATGAGCTACCTAACAAGCTGACATTATTGATCATTACAATTGTATATAAAAAGTGTAGAGAGTAAATGATCCAAGTTCTAGATGCTGGACCTTGCTGCCTGGACGCCTGAAGGGTTCTCACAAATAAAGAGAATAGAACTTCACTCTCTCTCTCTCATCTCTCTCATCTAAAGGAATGTACGTTAAGTAGGGTGCAGTGAATTGTCTTGGTATTTTGTGTTTTTAACTTCCAAAAATTCTGATAAAAGTGTCTTCCACAGCGCTCTTAACGTTGGTTTGATGAATTTATTTTATCTTCAGTATTCCTATTTTCCACATCTCCACTTAAACTGTTTCGGACCAATAATTGTAGCTTTTTTTTTGTAATGCAACGTTTAATTCATTTATTGTCTTAGGTTTTGGTGGGTTACCTTTAAGGATTTCAGATATTTCTAAAATATTTTCCTATTTTGATGCCCTTTAATGAAACTACATAACAAAGGAATTGAGTTTTTGCCACAAACTCAAATCTTTTGATCGCAATATCTTTTCAACCTGGGTGCACACCTTTCGATATTTCAAACTTAGATTATTGTATCTATAAGTATTAATAGTTTAAAATATCTAAGGTCTAAGAGATTGGGTTACAAAGGTATAGAGATTAGAATTAATTAGAGTTTGTGGCAAAAACTCAACTCCTTTACTAACTTAACCAAGCCAAAGTTGGAAACTGTAACCAAGTAGATTATGCCATAAAGGTTTAATTTTTTGTGGTACAGAGCGTAAATCGTATCCTTCGATCGGAAAATGTTATGCATATTTCTACCATGATGAGACACCAAGTATTTTTTTATATTTAACCAGAAAATATCATTTATAATGTTTTTTTTAATATCTGAAGAATTCAAAGCAAAAATATTTTAAAGCATTTAACGATGTAATTTTACAGAACTTTGGCCCTAAAATAGAGTTCATGGTGCATTTCATAAAATAAAAGAATTTATAAAAAAGGAATTGAGTCTTTGCCACAAACTCTGAATTTATAACCCCTAAATCTTTGGAACCCAATGTTGTAAATCTTTGATATTTCAAACTTATATTATTTGATCTAACAGAATTCATAGTTTGAAACATCTAAGGTCTACGACATTGGAATCCAAAGATATAAGGTTTAGACAAGCAGAGTTTGTGGCAAAGACTCAATTCATTTGAAACCTTTTGTTGAGTGCTTTTGTTTAGTTATATAAACAATATATTTTATTTAAAACTCACATTAGATTATGTGCAGCTAGCTTGAGAACCCAGCTTTGCCCACTGCCCATGGTGGTACTCATACCTACTCCCGCCGTTTACCCGAGCTTGATCGTAGATTACGATTTTTTCCCATAAAAGTAGTAAAAGTAAAACTCAAATCTGAATCTCAAAACCCAGCTAAGAACATTCTTCCTGTTCTCCCGAGTTCCCCAATCAAAATTTGAGACAAATCGGTCAAGGGGTTTATTAGTTATGATCAGACATACAGACAGAGATTACAACTTTATATGTGTTATATGGATGCTTTAGAAAACATTTTAGGATTTTACAAGAGTCGCAAAGAAAACTATGCTTGTTGACGTTTTGGTGTACCCTACACTGTATACCTCGCTCAACCATCCAGATAAAAACACCAATTTTCTGCTCTCAGTAAAAACCAAAAGATAAATATGTCACTTAATTTAATAAAACAAGGAATGCTTTTCAACATTACAGAAGATTATGGGGGTTCGGGGCCTGCAATCAAGAGATTAATTTACCGCACAGTTTTTTAAAATAAATCAAGCTTCAAAACTTCTTCTTCTTGCTAGTTTTGTAGTAAAACTACTCCATAAAAATTTCTCGAAACGTATCTATCCAAGTACAATCCGTCCGCTATCAGGGTCAACCAGGATACAACCCACCTGGCTCTTATTACCACACAGGGACACAAGCGTAGCTATCCTATACGCTACTAGTCTAGATATCAACAAGCTTTATATCAATACCAAAATGATGGGGACGATCTGGTGCTCTAAATACCACACAGGAACACAAGCCTAACTATACAACAAGCTATATGTCAATCCTACTCTCATGCAGTAAACAGTAAGGAGTTACTCTGTAAATAATTCGAAAGTGAGTTGTATCTGTACGATACACATTGACCAATACATATAGCATAATATCTGGATTAATACAGACTGAGGCTGAATTTAGAGAATTTAAGTCGCGGCTTAAATCCGCCAAAACCAAGTTTAAATTGAGCGCCGGCTTAAATCTTGAAACATTTGGTACAATTTTAGGTGAAACCAACCATAATTAAGCCGCGGCTCAAATTCTTTAAATTCGGCCTTTGAAGTATATTATTTTAGAACATTGAGTTTTACACTGATAATACAGAGAGTATCTAGACTATACATACCAAGAATACAGAGAGTGTTGTATCTGGCTTGATACAGACCTAGGTTTTAGTGTAGTCTAGAGCAAATTGTATTAGTACGATACATACTGACGAATAAAGAGGTTGTATCTCAATTGATAGATACTTGAGGATACAGGAGGTTATACTTGGATTGATATAGACTTATAAGAGAATGCAGTCATGCATTTGGTACACTTGTATTTAAACCCTGAAACTTAAGTTTAAACTTGTATTTAAACCCTGAAATATAAGTTTAAACTTATTTAAACCCTGAAACCTAAGTTTAAACTTGTATTTAAACCTTGAAATATAAGTTTAAACTTATTTAAACCCTGAAACCTATGTTAAAACTTGTATTTAAACCCTGAAACCTAAGTTTAAACTTGCATTTAAACCCTGAAACCTAAGTTTAAACTTTTATTCAAACCCTGAAACCTAAGTTTAAACTTGTATTTAAACCCTGAAACCTAAGTTTAAACTTGTATTTAAACCCTGAAACCTAAGCTTAAACTTATATCTAAACCCTGAAACCTAAGTTTAAACTTGTATTTAAACCCTGAAACCTAAGTTTAAACTTGTATTTAAACCCTGAAACCTAAGTTTAAACTTATATCTAAACCCTGAAACCTAAGTTTAAACTTGTATTTAAACTCTGAAACCTAAGTTTAAACTTGTATTTAAACCCTGAAACCTAGGTATAAACTTGTATATAAAAGGAGTGCTCGTAAAAAATTAAAGGGGGTATAGGCTTACGGCGAAAAATAATCGCTTTCGATCGCTACTAATCTTACTTCTATCTGTTGCGTCTATAAGGAGAAAATTGATAAAAACGACTTATAGTATTGAAGAACGTAGCGTCCATACAAATTCGAGTAAGTTTCAAAATGCGACTTGGATGTTAAAAAAATCATTTTAATTTCAAACAAATCATCCAGATATTACAACCTATAATCATCAATTATTTTTCGGCGCATTCGTATAAAGTTAAAATTTCATAATATTTTTTATTTGTTTTGTATACAATGCACTTAAAACGCCAAAATAGTTGGCCGCCAGGTGTCTCTTCTCTTTGCTTTGAATGAATACACGTGGCAGAGACACCTAGTGGGAAAAAAACATCAATTTAAGCATGCATTGTATTTAAAACAAATAAATATATAATGAAATATTATTTAATTCCTCTGCAAAGTCTTGTGGTAGCAATAGTCTTAAAGGATAACTTTAATTGAAGAATCAAGCATGTTTCCTCAAATTTAAAACTGCAAGTGTTGAATTTTGAGATCAAGTGCTCTTTCAATAAAACCAATACTTCACACTAAATTGTTTTGTTTTTGCATGCATAACCTCCAAACGTTGTAGAAGTTCAGGTATGTATAAGAAGTTAAATCTATACATTGCCTGAAATTTGTTCATGATTTAATAGACAATTTAAATCAAGAATGAATATTATTTTGCACTCTTCTAGCTAACTACATTGACATGACTAATAGATTTAAGAGCAGAAGGAATTGATGATGAACGAATTAGCACTCAGCAACCTAGCTTGCCTCCCTTTAGTTAAAACCATGGAAACATTTACAATTAAATGCAGATATATTATTGGCGGTAACTTTGTTCACCAAGGTACGTGTTGTTAGCTCTAAGCTCCATTCCCTTAACCAAGAACAGTCCTGATGTTATTTTGAAACTGTATAATATTTACTGTTGTAGTTTTTATGGATCTAGTATTTGGGACTTGAGTTCCCAATGTGTTTCAATTCTCTTTTCTTTTGGAAACCTGTATTTTCAAAAAAAAATTATTTAAACAAATTTAAACTACACCATTTATATATGTATTTATATCTTTGTGTGTGAATAAATCTTTATAATTATAACACCATGAAAACAATAAAAACGCAGAGATATGATTGGAGCAATCTCATTTGTCAAGGTTTAATAGTTTGCTCTTTTTATGATAAAATCATGGAAACAATCAGAAATGAAAGGATCTGATAAGAAGAACCATTTTCTGTAAATTTGAGGATGCTTGCTTAAAGTCTAAAGACAGAATATAAAATGAAAAATTATCAAATGCCGAATTATGCATTCGCAGAAAATCTGGTATAATAAAACCTAGAATTTTAAATATACCCTAAACTTCAAAAAAGCTTCTTTTACAATCATCGGTGTTTTAACCATAATATTTTTTTAACTGTTTATCGTACAGTTTAAAATTTTTCTTTTAGAATTTTGATCATTTGCCATTTGGCATTCTGACAAATAAAGTATTTTCCATTAATGTAGGTTTATTCTGCTTTTTATTGACACAATATGTTAACACTCAAGATTGAATGTCATTATTATGAATTGGTTATGCTTGACTAATGAGCTTAACATTTAGAGATCTTAAATTTTTGTTAAATTAAAAGTTAAGTTTTAGTCAAATGTTTATTTTCACGGGCAAAAGATAACCGCAAGGTGTGTACAAACTTCAGAGAGTTTTAATAAAACCATATGATTGTTCTAAAAACTAATCAAGTTCTCCAATTCTTTATTTAGAATCTATAGGATGGTCAACTGAACAAATTATTAGTAACAAAACTTAATAAACAGAGAAAGCAGAGACTAGCAAGAAAAGTGTTTTTCTTTAGTAATGAAGGATCAAATTTATTAATTCAGATTAGAATTAAGGAGTTTAGGCTAAGGAATATAGATATATTTTAAATATGACGTCAAATCTTGAAGCTGGCATGTACAATTATAACTTAAATAAGGTATGTCCTGTCTTTATCGACATATTTATAGTCAAACTTGTATCTCTAAAAAACGTTAAATACTTTGCATATACTTTAACTTTTAATGTACGAGGTGTATTCAAAAAGTTTCGCTTATAAAACGTTAAATACTTTGCATATACTTTAACTTTAAGAATGTACGAGATGAATTCAAAAAGTTTTGCTTATAAAACGTTGAATACTTTGGATATAATTTAACTTTAAGAATGTACGAGATGAATTCAAAAAGTTTTGCTTATAAAACGTTAAATACTTTGCATATACTTTAACTTTTAATATACGAGGTGGTGTTAAAAAAAATTCGCTTAAAAACGTTAAATACTTTGCATATAATTTAACTTTTAATTTACGGGATGAATTCAAAAAGTTTTGCTTATAAAACGTGAAATACTTTGCATATAATTTAACTTTTAGTGTACGAGGTGTGTTCAAAAGGTTTCATTATAAAACGTTAAATACTTTGCAAATACTTTAACTTTAAGAATTTACGAGGTGGGTTAAAAAAGTTTCGATTAAAAAAAATTAGGGGTACAATTGTAAAAGTCACAGCCCAGTAATTTTTTTAAAGTTCAAAATAGCAATCCCGGATTATTTTTTAGACCAGTTGAAGTTAATCAGATCTTTTTTGAAATGTAAGGAGAGTTCTCATAGTAAAATATTTTTCTGAATGGTGTCACACTTGATCCATCAGAGTCTGTTCTAGACCCTTTCAGAGCGAGCGATCAAAAGAAAAGAGAGATTAAAGGGAGTGTTCGCGAACAATGAAAGGGGGTATAGTCCTACGGCGAAAAATAAGCACTTTTGATTGCTACTAATATCATACTTCTATCTGTTGCGTCAATAAGGAAAAATTTTTTAATAACGACTTATTATGAGTAGCGTAGCGTCCATACAAAATCAAAAATTTGCAACATTTCACTCGGATCGTAAAATAATTAATTTAATTTCAAATAAATCATTCAGATAAAACAACCTAAAGTCATCAGTTATTTTTCGACGTGTATATAGTTGATATTTCATAATATTTTTTATTCTTTACTTCTGTTTCGAGGATTTTTGAAAATGAAGACGACATTTTCATATTTTCCAGGAATGTTCGAAAATCCAGCGCCAGCGAAATATC